AAAATATATATATATATATATATATATACACCTGGGATTACAGGTGTGCGCCACAACGCCCAGCCTATATACACTTTTAAATTGTTTAGAAAGTAAGCTGGGCATGGTGGCCTGTAATCCAGCACTCGGGAGGCTGAGGCAGGAGGATCGCTGTGAGTTTGAGACCAGCCTGGGCTACATAGTGAGTTCCAGGTCAGGTCAGTCTCAACTACATAGTGAGACTTTGTCTCAAAAAACCAAGAAAGAAAAAAAAAAAGTTTAGAAAGTTTAATGAAGCAGGGTACCAGGGTACAACAGGGTACACTTGGACGGCTGAGGCAGGAGGATTGCCATAAGCTTGAGGCCAGCCTGGGCTGCACAGTGAGTTCAAAACCAGTCTGAACTATGTGGCAAGACCCTGTCTCAAAAAAAGAAAAAAACAAAGCAGATCCCCCAAGATGAAAACAAGAGCTCAAATATGATCCCTGTTACCGAAGGAAGCGTAGGCGTCACCTCCACCTACGGCCTCTTGGGCTTGGGAAGGGAAATGGTGGAGGGTCCGGAGACAACTGCTTTTCCCAATTCTGACTCCGTCTGGGGGCTCAACAAGGAACACACACGCAGTGAGATACCGCAAATGAAGGTCTAGAGGCTCAGAGACCATCAGAAGTAGCTGTTGCACAGAATCCTCTAGGTAAAAAAAGTGTAATTCTGAAGAAGCCACACATTGTCCACTTTGGGGAAAATATCCCTGAAAAGGTAGTCAAAAATGAAAATCCAGTCTGGCACAGTTAACTCGATTCCTGAGTATAAAGGCAGATGAAAAGAAGGTTTTGCTGGGCACAGTGGCACACACCTGTGATCCCAGCACTTGGGAGGCTGAGGCAGGAGGATGGCCATGAGTTCAAGGGCAGCCTGGGCTACGTAATGAGTTCAAGGACAGCCTGAACTACATCCCTGTCTGAAAAAAAGGGGGATTTTACTCATATTTTAAAAATTATTTTATATTAATATAGTAGAACTAAGCAGTAGAAAGCTGCTTGTTTTAAGCAACTATTACAATGGTAAAATTATCAAACTGGGCTCCAGGGGGAAGGCTTATAATCCTAGCTACTCAGGAGGCTGAGTCAGGAAGATTATGAGTTGGAGGCCAGCCTGGGGAACTTAGGGGAACCCTGTTTTGATATAAAAAATAAGGGTGTGGCTGGGGGGGCGCTCACCCAGGCTGCAGCAGCCACTGAGTTCAACCCCAGCGCTGTCGGAAATAAGTCCCCGACTGACGGTCACAGTCTTCAGTATTATTCACTGTTGTCCGTTTATTCTTTGAAATGGGTCTCGTTTAGAAATAGCCGACCCTGGTGACAAAACCATGAAGCGGGGACTCCGAGTTGGGCCGCTCGAGTCCATGTCCCCAGCAGCTGACGCACAGAGAGGAGGCCGGGGTGCGGGCGCTGTGCAGCAGCTGAGGTGGCACCGCAGTTTGGAAAAGGCACAGAGGGGCCCTGGGCCCGCACGGAGGGCGGGAAGGTACTGAGCGAGTCGCAGTCAGGATTGCTGGCTTCTGGGACTCCTCTGTGGGTCACCTGATGGTCTGTGGCCCTCAGCCTGCCTCGTAGAGAGCTAAGCTCCTGCGGCCCCCAGGCCCCAGTTTGTGTCCCCACGGGGGAGCTTGCTGTCCGTCCCAGAACCCATTGACGGTGTGCGAGCTGCGGCTGGTGGTGTCCCTGCAGCCGCCTGGGCTTCCTCGGGGCGGAGCGGCCTCGGGGTGACGGTGACTCTCACCAGGGCCCGCTTCCCCTTGGCAAGAGTGCCAGGGGCCAGTCTGAGACCTGAGACCACACGGTGTCACTTCGCTGCTGGGTGAAGCCACCAGGGCGGCCCGCCCTTGGGTCCTGAGGGACCAGTGTCAGCGGCCAGCCACACCTCCAGCCGGGCCCTGGTCCAGGCTGTCCGCAGCGGTCTGTCCTCCCCACCCTGAGCGGCGAGACAGATCCAGCCACCGTCCCATCTGTCCTCGGCTCTGGGCCAGTGGGCCGCGCAGGGAGGAGACAGAGGTGTAGACCCTGAACGCTGAGGGCCACACGGCTCCCTGGGGACGGCACGGGGCTGAACCTCCGGAGGGTCAGCCTGGAGGGCTGGTGGGGGCTGTCAGGAGTCGCTCTGGCCCGGTCACCTGCAGAGAGGAAGGCGTCCCGGCCGGCCGGGGCAGCCGTCAGTAGGGCCTCCGGAAGCCGCTGTACTGGCCGTGGCTCTTGGGGAACTCCCTCCGGATCCGCCAGCGGCAGCAGCTGGGCAGGATGCCGAAGTCGGCCACGTCCTGGGAGCCAAAGCGCCAGGTGGCGTAGCAGCGGTAGGCGCAGTGCCTCAGCCGGCTGTTGGTGGCCTCCTCGTCCAGCGCCAGCAGGGGCTCCTGGTAGAGCAGCAGCTGCCGCAGGGCCGGGCGGGCCAGCACCAGGCTCCCGAAGAGCTCGGAGGTGGTGATGCAGGGCCCCGAGCTGCGCCGGCAGCACAGCTCCTCCAGGCACTTGTGGCCCTTGGGGAGTTGGGACTCGAGGCAGTTTCCACACCGGCACCAGCCCGGGCTGTCCCCAGACCCGGGGGTCCCCGTCCCCCGAAGCGGCTGCATCTGGTGTCCAGGGGCCGGGGCTGGATCCGGGAGAGGCGAAGGTAGTTTGGGCAGGTGTGTGAAGTCCATCGGGGCTCTCTGCAAACAGATCCACAGCCGTCAGTGGAAACAAGGCCTGCGGTTCCAGGTGCTTCTGTTTCATTAGCTTTTGTTTATGTATTTATTTATTTATTTGGTTCCGGGGATCGAACTCAGGACCTTGCAACTTGTGAGCAGTCAGCGGAACCACTGAGCTACATCCCCAGCCCTCATTAGCTGTTAAGGTGGTTTTCTTTTTTTTTTTTTTTTTTTTTTTACCAGGGGTTGAACTCGGGTCCTTGCACTTCCTCAGTGTTTAAAGCAGCATTTAATGTGCTAGTGACTAGGGCAACTGCCAAGCCTTCCGTGTGCGCACCAGGACCGGCTTGTATTTAAGCCATGGAAGCCTTTGCAGAACCTCGGCCAGGTATCCTTGTCTCCATTTTACGGATTTGGAAAAGGAAATTCTGAAAAGCCAGGCTTGCATTCAGACTTCATCTCCTGCCCCGGCCTCCCTCGCTCGTGGCCCCCTGCACACCAGGGTGCCCTCGCTTCTCTAGCAGTCTCGTGCCCTGGAATGACCCGCCACATCTGTGTGTGGTTACTCGGTGACCACTCTGCTTTCGGAGGAAGCCAGGGCCTGGTCTGCTTTTTTTTTTTTTTTTTTTTTTTAAGGCAGGGTCTCACTATGTAGTTCGGGCAGCTTTGAATTCATTATGCAGCCCAAGCTGGCCTCGAACTGGAGGCATTCTCCTGCCTCAGCCTCCTGAGTGCTGGGGTGACAGGTGTGTACCCAGCGGGGTATAATGAGGTTACACCCAGCTCCATCCGCTTTGTTTATTGCCGGATCCTTGGAGCCTGGGACAGTGGCCAGGACACAGTGGACAGTAAATATTTGTTCTCCGCTTCTGTGTCTGTTGTATTCCAAGGGAGGTGACCATGATTTCACTGCCATATCCATTCTCTGTGATATATACCTCATTCGCTGGACAAATAAGACCTGAGTTGAGTACATCAGAAACTGAGTTCTTTCATATGAATGTGCACAATAGCACCATTGATAATAGCTCAAAGGTGAAAGACCCATACATTCATCAACTGATACATGGGTAAACAAAGTACAGTGGACCCTTGAGTTACGGCCAGCCAGACGTAGGAACAACTTGGGTTATGACTAGAATTCAAGTTTTAACTTATAACCAAAGTCCTGAGTTACGACCCACATGCTGGCCGCTTTGCATCCAGATGGTCTCAGACACAGCTGTGACCCTTAAAGAGCTCTGGAAGGAGCACGGCCGCTTCCTCTCCTGTGTGGGGTTCACTGAGAAATCCCAGGTCGGTGTCTCTAAGGGGACCGGAGAGAGGCTTTGAAGGCTGTGGAGAGGAGCCTGAGCCTGCACTGACCAACGTGAGTTACAACCTTGGGAATGAATTGAGTTTGTAAGTCAAGGGTCCATTGTGCGGTCTGTCCACATTGTGGAATATTAGTCAGGCACGAAAAGAAAGTTATCACAGCTAGGGAGAGTGTGAATGAGGGCCAGCATTTGGAGCACTGTTGGTTGGTATCAACCAAAATGCAACATATGCCGGTCTCAGGACTCGGCACTTCCCCCCTGAGGTGACTGATCACCCAGCAGATGCCAGATATTTATATCCTGGCATGACTGGCATTAGCCTCAAACTAGAAACTACACAAATGTTCATGGACAGTAGAGTGGATAAATAAGCTAGAAATAATACAGACAGTGACAATGAACTTCTGTAATACACGATGTCATGGATAACACAAAAACAGTACGGATTGGAAGGAGCCAACTAGTCCAATAAGTATGTCGAGGACCTAAGCATATGATTTAGTTTTTATAAAATTCTAGAAAAAGTAAAACTAATCTCAGATACAGGGTAATGACTACTTTTATTTTTATTTTTTATTTTTTGGTTTTTTGGACAGGGTCTCACTATGTAGTTGAGACTGACCTGGAACTCACTATGTAGCCCAGGCTCATAGTGATCCTCCTGAACTCAGAGCGATCCTCCTGCCTCAGCCTCCCAAGTGCTGGGATTACAGGTGTGTGCTACCACGCCCGGCTGATAACTACTTTTAAAGGAGGGTAGCAATGAGATGGGGATGTGAGAGGGACTTCTGCTAGGAATAGTCTCTTTTTTTTTGGAAGGGCTGGCATTGATCCAAGGGCTTTGTGCATAGAGAGCAATAACTCCACCACCAAGCCCCGCTCAGCTCAGAACACTGCATTTTTACATCTGGGTGCTGGTTACATGAGTATGTTCGCTTTATTAAAATTCATCAGAGGTGATTTGTACAAATTTCTAGATGTATTTATATGACGTGGTAAATTTTTTATTTAGAAAAAAGACTGCCCAGCATGATGGCACTTGCCCATAATCCCAGCCCTCAGGAGGAGGCTGAGGCAGGAAGATCACAGTGAGTTTGAGACCAGCCTAGACTACATAGTGAGTTCCAGGTCAGCCTGAACTACACAGCAAGACCCTGTCTCAAAATAAAAAAATAAAAAAGACTAAATATTTTAACTTACTGGGATTTTTTGGCCCTTGACATCTTGCAGGCTTTTCCCGAGTAGCTGCTGGTCCACCATCCGGATGTGATGTTCGTCCACAAAGGACACGTACTTTAATGTCTGGGGAAAGCAAATGAAAAAGCTCATCTGTTTCTGTACGGAAGTATTTAAGAATCGCCTATCTAAGCAATGACAGCTACTGATCCCATTTACCAAGCAACACAGTGTTGAACGATGAGCTGCCCCGAATCCTGAGGTTTCCGAGTCTTGAGAGTAAAACCGGAAGAAGCCCAGGGGCCCTGAGCTATGCCTCAGGTCTGTGGGTCCTTGAGCTCTGGGAAACTTTCCTTTGTGTTTTCTCTCCCCAGAGAGTTATGGTGCTGCAGCTCCTCCAGTCATTTTATTTTGTTTTTTTGTTTGTTTTTGAGACAGGGTCTCACTATGTAGTTGAGTCTGACCTGGAACTCACTATGTAGCCCAGGCTGGTCTCGAACTCACAGCGATCCTCCTGCCTCAGCCTCCCGAGTGCTGGGGTTACAGGTGTGCGCCACCACACCCGGCTTCCAGTCATTTCCTGTTGGCTGAATTTCACCCCATCTTGGGCCATGAAACGGATTACAGGTGTGCCACCACACCCGGCTTCCAGTCATTTCCTGTTGGCTGAATTTCACCCCATCTTGGGCCATGAAACGGTGATTATTTTTAGTCACAAAGGTGAACTCTTACTTCAGTTGTGAACACATAGCGGACCATGACTTGTGCATTCAGCCGCTGGAGGAGGACAGGGATGTCCTTGTATGAGGGAAAGACAAAGGTGCCCTCTTTGTCTTTAGGGACCAGAGATTTCTCTTTGGGTGAGAGCATGGAGTAGAGCAGACTCGCTTGATGAAGGCCAAATTCATCAAATCGAAACATACAGATAAGACTCAAGTTCCCTGTGACTACAACCACCGACATCACTTTTGTGTATACATACACAGTTACGTGCGTGTGTGTAATGCACGGGTAGAGAGTATATAGTTTATGGGTCTATTTTTTAACATATGCCATACATAATTGTTCTATTAACTCTCCCCCCCGCTCAAAAAAATGTCTTCATAGCTGCTCACGCCAGCCCAAATAGCTTAGCGTCTGTGAACGTGGATTCTGAGGCCAGGCTGCCTGAATTGGGATTTCAGCTCTATCACTTGCTACTGTATGACTTCGAGCAAATCATTTCGACTTTCTTACAGACAAAACGGATAATAGTAATGCCTATCTGTTTTGAGCCGGTCTCTTTACGAAGCCCAGGCTGGCCTTGAACTTGTGAGGCTCCTCCTGCCTCAGCCTCCTGAGCGCTGGCATCACAGGCATATGCCTCATGCTTACCTGAAGGGCTGTTTGGTGGAGTTGGTGAGTTAATATATACAAAGCACTTGGAAATGCTATGAGAAGGTTTGCTTTTATTGCCCTCTGCCTCATTCTTTCCCTGCTATGGCTTACCATAGTTTTGCCATTCACCTAGAGGCACTTTGGGTACATGCGAGTCCCGGCGCCTTACCCGCTTGGGCTCCACCACGGCCTCACACTTCTTCCTGTAGTAGTATTCGTTGGCCGCGCAGGGTTCGCAGCACGAGCAGCGGGGGTAGACGTGCGTCCGGCAGAGGGCGCTCGAGTAGGTGTTGATGAGAAAGTCGATGAACACAGCGGCCTGGGGAACCCAGACGCGCCAGTGCTAGTGAAGGTTCTTCTTGAACATACGTATTTGTGGGACTAGGGGTTAAACCCAGGGCGCTCTACCTCTGAGCTATACCCCTGGTCCTCTTTTTTTTTTGGAGACAAGGTCTCACCAAATTCCTAGGCTAGTCTCCAGCTTTCAGTAGCCTCCTGCCTCAGCCTCCCAGCCTGCTGAGATCACAGGTGTGCATCACCACGCCTCTTTCCATATCACTTTCTTAAAGCCCGGGAAAGGGAATCTCTTACCAAACCAAAGTAGGAAAGAGTAGATCCGATGTACACAATCAAACTGATAATGTCAAATTTTCCTCCCTGGAATCAGAGCAGGATAAGTCACCAAGTTGAATGCAGAGCGCAGCCCTTCTGTTCTAACATCCAGTTGTCAGCCCAGGCAGGAAGCAGAGCCTGGGGCTCACCTCTGTGGAGACCGTGGGACTGACCGACACTGTGACCCTCTTGACCTGTTTCTGCCGTTCAGGCTGTGCCTGGACCTATGAACTAACTCACTTTCCTACCTACCTTCCTTCCTTTCTTCAGATTTTTCTTTTTTTTTTTTGAGACAGGGTCTTGCTGTGTACTTCAGGCTAATCTTGAACTCACTCTATAGCTCAAACTGGCCTAAAACTTGCAGCGATCCTCCGGCCTCAGCCTCCCAAGTGCTGGGATTACAGGCGTGCACACCACGCCCAGCTCCCTTGAACATTCTCAACAGAGAAGCATGTGAAGTGGGCACCACCGAGGGGTGGCTGTTCTCCATCTGGGTGAGGGTTTCCGACAGCCTTGCCCGGAAGTGGTGTGAGGCTGCTGGGAGCTGAGGGAGAGAGCCCTGCACGAGCTGGGTGCCCACCTTGTCCCATCCTCCGTGGCTTTCAAGCCCCTCAGCTACGTCTCCTTAGCATGTGTGCTGCGGGAACCGAAGTTTCCTAAATTGTGGGGACAGTCAGGCGGTTTGAGGGTCTGGGCTGCCCCATGACCAACCATGGACCCTGCGGTGTGGCCTGGTCACAGTGACTGATGCACCAGGGGCACCTCAGAGCGGAGGCTTCCATCTGAGCCTCTGCTGAGACCCCTGGCACACAGTGGTCAGGTGTCGGGAGCTGCCTGATGCCACCATGCAGAGGTGGTTGGCCTGAGAACAGTGCCCAGGCAGGGGGACGGATGTGAGACAGAGGGGGGCAGATTCCGGGCAAGGCTGAGACACCTGGATCCAGCCATGCCTGAGATCTGGTTATCCCTGAACTGTTCAGTTATATCAACAACAGTAACAAAAAGACGTTTTCCCCAAGTCAATCTGAGTTGGATTCTGTTACCTACAAACTATTTTGAAGAGGGATTTCCTTTCTTTCCCTTCCTTCCCCGCCCCCCTCTCCTATACCAGAACATTTTTAAAGCCAGAGTAATAGAATTCTCCCCCAGTCTGCATCCTCTCCAGATGGCCCGTTTCTGGTCAGGACACCAAGGACCATGACCATCTATGACCGTGACCCAAAGGACCCACTTAAAGTCCCTGCACAATAGTTAGGGCCCAGCCATAGAACGGGAACTCCCAGTCTGGAAGACGAGACTCACCGTGCCAAAAACCAGGATGTCGAAACGGATCCCGAAGACTTTTATCAGAGTTCGTTTTTCAACATTGTTTTCCCTGTAGTACTTGGCGTATCTGCAGGAGGAGAAGGATCCATATTTACCTCACTCGCTGTGAAAGTGCTGATATTTTATGGAAAGGAAAACCAAGCCAGGAGCCAAGCCCTTTGTCTTGTCTCCCTTCTGGGTCGGCTGCCGTTGGCAGAGGGTGGGACACAACCCAAGCCCCTGAATTACTCTCTGCCCACCGGGGTCCAAAGAGCGTCCCCGTGGCCTGGGGATCTAGCTCAGTGGTTCCGGCGCCTGCCTCGAAAGTGCGAGGACCTGAGTTTGATCCCCTGCACCAAAAAAAAAAAAACGGAGACTGGCTTTCAGATGGACACCTCCCCCCCGGCCTGAAGCACTGGTGGCACACGCGTGACTGTCGCATCGGGCAGCCGGCACAGCAGGTTCGGGCCGTCACGCGTGTGCCACCAGCACCTCAAGCCGCCCGGCAGTGAGACACACGGGTCACATCCCCATAGTGAACGTGTTAAGAGTAAAGCAAACAGGAGTTTAACCAATACAGATTTACAATAAGCAAAGGGATTTTTTAAAAAACTTCAAGCAGTGTGATCATTTAAGAAGGAACAATAGGTCTGGCCTCTAGAACAAAGCAAAGCAGTGGAGAAGGATGGATGAATTTTAGATACCAGTTATGGGGTTGGGGGACAATTGTACCTCAGCAATCTGTCCCGACTGTGTATGCGCGCTTGCTAGCTTGCTTTCTTTTCACTTTTTGAGGCAGGGTTTCACTATGTAGCTCAGGGTGGCCGCGAACCCTTGGCAATACTCCTGCCTCAGCCTCTGCAGCGCTGGGATTACCAGTGTGCGCCACCCTACCCGGCAAATGTCTCAAAATTTAAAGCACTGTGCAGGCCTAAACAAGTCCATGGAAGTTAAAAACCCTGCCTGCTGTTTATAATGCTGCTTTGGGTAAAATATGGAAGAAACCTGACTACCTGAGCAGACCCTCTCAGAAGTCAGTGAGAAGCTGAGCGTGGTGGCGCACGCCTGTAACCCTGGGATTTGGGAGGCTGAGGCAGGAGGATCACTGTGAGTTCAAGGCCAGCCTGAATTGCATTGCAAGATCCTGTCCCCCTAACAAACTTCAGCGACAAGGCCATCAGGAGGCTTAGGAAGCTTGCAGCCTAAACAGAACAACATGAGTCAGGTGAACCAGTCACAAGGAAGCTCACTGGGCCACTGACAATATGGTCCTGACCCGCGTCCTCAGGCTTTCGTATGTATGTGACTCCCCCAGGGACCTTGCTCAAGTGTGGGTTTTCCTTCAGTGTTTGGCGGAGAGGGTCCTTCTGATGTTCTGTGTCACGCCAAGCTCACAGGCAAGGCCTGCGATTCTGGTGCAGGACCAGACTCTGAGGCTCAAGAGTCCAGATCAGTGGCTGTCACGGAGTGAGCAGCAGGTCCCCTGGGGGCTGTGAAAACACAGATGGCTGGGCGCCACCCTAGGACCGTCCAACTAGGTCCATCCAGGGGCTTGAGAATGTGCGTTCCAAGGCTCCCATGTGATGTGGCCATCGGTCTAGACTGTAAATACTAAAATGTTTTCCAAATTGCTTCCCAGAACCGGGGCTCCTGTGGTTTTCTTCTTTTTTTTTTTTTGGTCTTTTTGAGACACGTCTCACTATGTAGTGCAGGCTGGCCTTCAACTTACTGTGGAGCCCAACTTCCCTTGAACATGTGGAGATCCGCCTGCCTCATCCTCTTGAGTGCTGGGGTTACAATACACCAGTGCACCCGGCTGTGTTCCTAAATTGGAAGGCACCACCCTTAGGGAAGGGAGTGACGCTGCTGGGGTCCTTCTCCCTGCCCAGAGAGGCCCTCCCTATATGCCATGTCTGGATTTTCTTCATAGCACGCATCGGAAACAGACTAGTTGAATTTGTCTGTTTATTCTATTGAAGTATAATTTGCATGTGTTAAAGTGTGCAAGTTCTAAGTGAGTCTTGACAAATAACTCCCCGGCAGAATCTACATCCCGCGAGCTCAGAGCATCCCAGCACCCCAGCTGTCTCTCGCTCTCCTTTCCACTCCGTTCCTCACCACCCGGCCTGCAGCCCATTTTATCTCCTTCAGTGTGGACGACCAGCTTTGCCTGTTCTCAGACTTCATCTAAACGACACCGAGTAGTCTGGACTTGTCCTTCCCGAGGCCCGATGTCCAAGGGACTGGGTCATCTGTGTTGTTGCTGTGTCCGTGGCTCGTTCCTTTTTGTTGATAGGAGGGAGTCTTTTCCTGTGGGAATGTACCGCACTTTATCCACTCACTGGCTGTTGGACATGTGGGCTGTTTCCAGTTGCGAGCTGTTCTGAATAAGACTTCTACGAACATCGGCACTCGAGTCTTTGTGTGGTCACATATTTTCATTCCTCTTGGATGAATTCGTAAGGTGGGATTGCGGGGTTTCTGGATTATGGGGCAGGTGTGTATTTGATTTTATAGGAAACTTCGCAGTAGTTCCCTGATGTGCCCATACCATTTTCCACATCCTCCAGGGATGCCGGAGAGTTTTAGCTGTTTTTCTCCTCTCCAACATTTGGAATTTCCAGTCCTTAAAATTTTTAGGTGGTTATGGTGATGAATACCTGTAGTCCCACACTTGGGAGGCTGAAGCAGGAAGATTGCTGTGAGTGAAAGGCCAACCTGGGCCACAAAGTGAGTTCAAGGCCAGCCTGAACTACCTGGTGAGACTCTGTCTCAAAACAAAACAAAACAAAACAAAAACAATAAAACAAAACCCCCAAAAGTAAAAAATCCAATGGTGTTAGAGCCAAGTATGTTCAGTAGAAACCACACCTGGATCTTTTTTCTTTTCTTTTTTCCATTACAGTGGGGATTGAACCCAGGAAGCTCTGCGCTACATTCCCATCCCTTTTCATTTAATTCAAAACAAGGTCTCACTGAGTTGCCCAGGCTATCATGTGACTTGCAATCATCCTGCCTCAGCCTCTCAAGTGGTGGAGGTTACAGGTGTGCACCGTCACACCTGGCTCACATTTCTGATTTTGAATTTTGATATTTTCCTGGGCTAGCAAGATGCTGTCTTTTGATGCGGGGCAGGGGCACCGTGCTGCAGCTGCCAGTCCGCACCTGTACCGGAGAGGGACCCTCGCCGCTCTCCCCTGGGCTGTTTCTAAGGCTCTGTTGTCCGGGTGGTGCCCCCCGCACGGATGTCTCAGCTTGTGACCCCGCAGTGAGCTGAGGAGTGACCTACAGAGGCCCCGCCATCGCCACGGGCACAGAGAAGGCCAAGACAATCATCTGGGGGCCTCTCAGTGGTAGAGCCCTTGCCTCGTGTGTGTGTGTGTGTGTGTGTGTGTGTGTGTGTGTGTGTCTCTGGATTTGGTCCCCAGCATCACACACACACACACACACACACACACACACACACATGGCACTGGACTCAAAGCAACAGAGGACACTTCTCTGGGTTCGACATGCGGGTGGGGACGGCAGATCTCCCCGAGCAGCAGGAAGGACTGAGACCGTGGGAACCCTCGCTGCAAGGGGGAAGGAAGTGGGCTCTTCAGCAGAGTGAACAAGTCGCAAGCCCAGGAATTAAACTACAATGGGCTCAGGATACATCCCCTCCAGGAAAATGCCGCCATCCCCTCACAGGCAGGGCTCTGCACGAGCTCAGTCCTGCGGCACATGCACAGCCCACAGATGGTCCAGCACCCATGCGGGAGTATTTCAGATAATAGGCCAGTGCGGATGGAATTATACAGGGAGTGGAGAAGAGGAAGGAGGGTCCACACAGCCAGAGAAGAATGTACAGCAGTTCACAGCTTTGAATACAACCACATAAAAAAATCCTAGAAATAAAGATACTGCCATAGGTTAGACAGGGTCTCGCTATGTGGTCCAGGCTGGCTTCAAACACAGAGATCCTCCTGCCTCAGCCTCCCAAGGGCGGGGATCACAGGTGTGCGCCACCTCACCCAGGATACAAATTTTCAATTTTGGAGGAGGAATAAGTGAGAAAGTCTTGATATAAAAGGGGAAGAGTACATTTTGGGATCAGGGTGATCTGGGTTAGAATTCGGACTCTTAGTTGTGGGTCTTGGGCAAATCATCAACCTTTTCCCAGATGAAACCTGGAGCACTAATAACTGCCATGGAGGGTCGCAGGGAGCTTCAGAGGGGACCACTGAGTAGCTGCTATGTAGAAGACCCCCCACCCCAAGCTGCAGTGGTCAGTACACCCACACCATGGAATGTTCTTTTTTTTTTTTCCTGGTAAGGGGAATCAAACTCAGGGCCTGGCACTTGCCTGGCAGGCCCTGCACCACTAAGCAACTCCCCCAGCCCTACCATGGAATGTTAGGAATGCTGTGGTCACAAATGTAATGGCCCCAAAGTGGTTTTTTTATTTGTTTGTTTGTACCAGGAATCAAACTCTGGACCTTGCCATGCAAAGCAGGCTGCAGAAACACTGAGCTAAATCTCTGGGCTGGCCCCAAAGTATTTTAAGTGCCCTGGGTATTAAAAAAAAAAACACAGATACCAGAGTGTGGCCTCAGGAAAGAATTGGTATAAGGGAGAGACCCCCAGTTATCTTTGTCTCAAGGCACAGGAATTGTGAGTTTTCCTCCTTTGTGCTGTTCTCTTATCCAAGTTTTATTTCTCTCTTACCAAGGGTGTTCATTCTCTTGCTTCAGGAAGCCAAACTGACGTTTGTGACAGCCAGGCGTGCAGTTCAGCCAGGCCTGGGGCCCCCAACACCATGCGGGCCGGCTGCTCAGTGAGAACTGTTACCTGAAGTTGTAGCCAGGGTACAAGGACTCATTGGCGGTCTTGTCGTCAAGGCGACGGAAGCTGTACCTGGGGTGGCAGCGATGGGACCACCTGTCCAGGTTGCAGTCCCAGTAGATCTCGATGCCCATGATTCCTCCCTGGGGTAGGGGGGCAACAGGAGAAGGTCTGTAAGCCCGCTGGGCCCTGGTGCTGCAGTCGCACACACAGGGAAGGGAAAAGGGCTGATGAAAGATTTCAGACCCATAATGTGAGCTGAGTTCAGACCCATGACTGTGCCATTGTGTTTAGACTTTTGTTGTGTTCTGAGACAGGGTCTCTCTGCGTAGTCTAGGCTGGCCTCAAACTCATTATGGAGCCCAGGCTGGCCTCGAACTTGCAGTGATCCTCCTGCCTCAGCCTCCTGGGTGCTGGGATTACAGGTGTGTGCCACCATCCCTGGCTCCTTAGACTTATTTCTAGAATATACCATCCAACAAATCTTTCCTGCATTCGAAGCATTCCTGCCCTGAAATCTCTAGTGCCCCCCATGAGAGACCAAGTTGGAACTTGTCAGTTTCATAACTCTGATTTGTTTTCCCTGTCAGTATTCCTGTAAGGAAGGCTTCTGGCCGCATGAGTACACAAAGGATCTTGAAATGGGGAGACTATCCAGGGTTATCCAGGTGTCTTAAGCACCCTTCTTATAAACACTGCCATCCTAAAGACAAGTGCTTTTCCAAGAGAAGGCAGAGGGTAATCTGATTAGAATAAGGCACTGCACTCTCTGAAGATGCCCCAAGGTCAGCTTTACAGATGGAGGGAAGGGCCACAAGCCAAGAAGTTCAAGGGAGCACTATAGCACCTGCCTGTTATCCCAGCTACTCAGGAGGGTGAGGCAGGAGGATGGCAAATTTGACCCCAGCCTGAGCAGCTTAGCAAGGGCCCTGTCTCAAAATAAAAAGGCGGGGAGGTATAGCTCAGAGCAAGGGCCTTCAGCTCAATCTGCACTGTTGCAAAAGAAGAAGAAGAAAAAGAAGAAAAAAGAGGAAGGACAAGGGAAGGAAGAAGAGGGGTCAGAGAAAGGAGCGGGGGGCGGGAGAAGGAGGAGAAGAGAAGAAAAGAAACAGGAAGCTGCTCTGGAAGAAGGCAGGACATGCATTCTCCCCTAGAGCCTCCAGGGGGAGCCTTGTTCTGCAGACCTTGGTTTCAGCTCCGTGACAATAGTTTAAGACTCTGACCTCCAGAAATAAAGAAAATTGGTTGTTTCAAGCCACAATGGTGGTCATAGGAAATGGACACCCTGGGCAGCTCACTCCTAGGGTTGTGGGCTGAGACGCAGGGACACAGGCAAAGTCCTTGGCCTGGCACAGGGGTTTTAGACACTTGCTGCACCTGAGCCATTTTAGGACCCCGTGGCCTGACCTCCGGTGGCTCCTGGACACACTACCCGTGATGCAGAGACGACACCCACCTTGATGGCCACGTCTGAGAAGCTGTCCCCCGTGTCCCGGAAGATGTCTCCTAGTCGGAAAATGGGACACCGGGGATTCTGCGTCTTGTGGAAGGTACACGAGGTGTTCAGACCGGGGAGGATGTTTCTCCTGGGCATAATCGAAAGCAAACAGACACCACGCTGGCGTGACCGGATGTGGCAGCCAGACTCCATGATGGTCCTGGGACCCCTGTCTCCCTGGGGAACGTCCTCTCGCACTGTGCCAGCGTCGGTCTGTGACCCACAGCACGTGGCAGGAACACCGGTGGCTTCCATCTTGGTTACTGTGGTCCTGTTTCCGCCCCTTGTTCTAGGGAAGCTAGCCACCGTGTCCTAAGCACACTCAGCCGCCCGAGGAGGATTCCCCACCCCTGTCAGGTATGGGGGTGACTGCAGCCCTAGTGGACAGCTTGACTACTACCCACAAGACCCTGGGCCAGAACCTCCCGGCCGAAACATTACCAGGTTCCTGACCCACAGAAATCGTGGGCGACAAGAAGAGTTCGTAGGTTTGGGATCTGTAGGTTTGGGATGATTTGTTACACAGCACAGGCAACTGACTGGTACAGCCAGTCATCCTGGGCACTTACGTGGTGTAGTTGTGGCCAGGGAAGTCAATGTTGTTCTTGATGAGCACTGTGAAGTTTTCCGCGCTGCTCAGGAGTGCAGGCCTGGGGGAGAGGGGGTGTGGATCAGCGACTACAGGGGCCTGGAGGGGTCAGTGAGCCAATGGGATCAGAGGCTTCTGGTTCTGTAGCTTTGTGCTTTAGTCTTTAGGATGTGTAAAGAGAAATGGATAGAGCGACCCAGTGGACAAAACCTTACAAAATTCTCCGGAAAGTGCCCCCACCCCCCACCCCTGTACTAGGGTCTGAGCGCAGGGCCTTCACACTGAACTATGTCTCCAGATCTTTCTTTGTTTTTTTTATTGTGAGGCACTGTCTTGCAAGTCACGTTGTCCAGGCTGGGCTCTAACTTGTGATCTTCCCGCTTGGCCTACCAGAGCACTGGCATTCTAGGCACGCATCAGAATTTTTCCCTTCTTGAGGCTCTGCGACATTCACAGTGTCACCTTTTACTCTCTGATGTAATTGTATACTTAGATATATGCAGGGTTTTGTTGATAAATGTTTGACAGCCAGCTCTCTAGGGGAGAAAAGACCTAAAGGGCACATATGAGGCTAGGCAGGGATGAGCACGCTACATATCCGGGACTCTTACATTTTACAGGAGTGTTCACATTTGCAATCGATCTCTAATGCCTGCTACATAGTGATGGGTTTGTTGAATGAGTAAGTGAACTATCTTGGCTCACTCATACAGATGAGGAAACTGACATTCAGGGGTTGCAGGCCCAGGTCAGGTCACTGTGCAGCCCGGGGCCAGGCACTAGGAGCTGCGCAGCATTAATCTCATGGACAAAGTTGGTGGCAGAGCAGAACCGAAAGCCAGAGTCCCTCAAGGGATCCTCTGTCTTGAACCACGAAGTCCTGGGGAGCAGGCTGACGTCCCACCCCTAGCATCCGTTCCTTCTGTGCCAGAAACTTCTGTGACCTAGAAATGAACCCGGACTGACCACTGAGGGCCAGGCAGGGTGATGCTGGCCCAGACCTTGGCCTGGCCCCCTATGTGCCAGATGGGACGGGAAGACGCATCCTCTGTGCCGCTTGCCCCCGGAGGGAGCAGGGCACAGTCACTCTGGTGTAGGCATGTGTAGCTATTTCAATTTCAATTTTATTAAGATTTTTTTTCTTGTGGAAATAACAAATTCAATTTAAACTGGCTTTGGATTGGGGGAGGTACTGGGGATTGGACACACGGTCTGCTCTACCCCATTGCTCTACCACTGAACTGTATCTCCAGCTCTCTGATTTATGTTTTTCCCTCCAGTAAATGAGACATCCCATGTTTTGGCTTCAGGAGGGCTTGATCCAGGTGCTCAGTTGCAGTGTCCACATTTCAAGTACTCAGAAACCTCATGTAGAGGACACATTTTTTTGGACAGTGTGAGTATAAAACATCCCCACGATTGCAGGAAGTTGCATTGGACAGTGCTGGCCTAGAACCACCCACCACATTCTAGGGGCAAATTGTGTTTGTGTGTGTGTGTGTGTGTGTGTGTGTGTGTGTGTGTTTGTGCATGTCTGTGTGTGTATGTGTTTGTCTGTAAGTCAGGCATGTGGCTCACTTTACAACAGCTGACCAAGTTCATCTCATTTAAACAGCCCCACGAGGTAGGTGCAGTTAGTGTTCTCATTTTGCAGATGCCCCTCAGAGATTAAGCCACTTTCCAAGGTCACGGAGACAGATTTGCTAGAGGCAGGATTTGAATCCAGATCTTTCCCACTCTTCCCTGATGAAATGCATTGGCCCTGTGCTTTCTGAGATCTAATTGAGATCCTAACTGTGTGTTAAAGAGGAAAATTAGTACAGGAGCCCCCAAACTGTGTGTCCTGCGGGCATTTGAGAAAACTTCCTGTCCTCTGCTCCCTCTTCCCTTTCTCCCTCTTCCTTTCCATTTCTCTCCTTCCCTCCCTCTCTCCTACCTGCTGTTAGTCACTCTGTGTGGCATTGACTGGTCACAGCAGTGCTGCAGTGCTAAGGAACGGTCTGGGAGTGCCGGGAAGGTGCTGGGCACCCAAGGGGGCTTACGGGAGTAACTGGGCACCATCTTAACATGCTAACAGCTAGCACAGCCTCTAGAAGACACAGAAGACTCAGGACTCTGGTCGCTGCTGAGGGCCCCTGTGTCTGTCCCTCTTCCCACCCATGCAGCTCACCGGGGGGCCTCTTCCATGGCCTCGATAGGGCACCAGGCGGAGACTTCGCAGGTCTTTTTGGTCCCACTGTGCAAAACACACCGGCCGGTCTGGATTCCTAAGAGGTCAGAGGTCACAGAACCCGGATGTGAGTGGACCTCGGGGGCGGAAACTCCCCAGAGGCCACCATGGTTTCCACCTAAGCAGCTGTAGTTCCTGAGGACCCCATCCTTCTCACTAACACACCCCAGACGAAGCAGAAAAAAACAGGCTGCCTTTATTTATTTTGTGTGTGTGTAGCACTGGCGCTAGAACCCAGGGCCCACACATGCTCCAGGTCTACCATGGAACAACATGTTCAGCCCCCTTTTCACATTTTTGAGACAGGGTCACGCTAAAGTGGCCCAGGCTGGCCTTGAACTTGTAATCCTTCTGCCTCAGCCTCCCAAGTAGCTGAGATTACAAGCATAGATCACTCCATTTGGCCACAGTAAGCTTTTAAAAAGGAGTGAGAAAGAGGAGGGGGAGAGGGGGAAGAGGGAGAGGGGACAGAAAAATACTGGATTCAGTTGGCCCTTTCAGCTTTTGTTTGTTTGTTTTTTGTTTTTTGAGACAGGGTCTCACTATGTAGTTGAGACTGACCTGGAACTCACAGCCCTTTCAGCTTTTTTGTTTGTTTTTTGTTTTTTGAGACAGGGTCTCACTATGTAGTTGAGACTGACCTGGAACTCACTGTGTATCCCAGTTTGGTCTTGAACTCACAGCAATCCTCCTGCCTCAGGAGGAAATCCTGCCTGCTGGGATTACAGGAGTGCGCCCCCATGCCTGGCTTTTTTTTGTTTTTAAACAAGGAAAGATCCTGAGAGGGAGCAGAGTGACTCCTCCCACCTTGTACATGCAGACTAGAACTCGGCTCCTCAACTGGGCAGCTAGGTCTCTCCAGGGTTTGGTCTTGAACTCACAGCAATCCTCCTGCCTCAGGAGGAAATCCTGCCTGCTGGGATTACAGGAGTGCGCCCCCATGCCTGGCTTTTTTTTGTTTTTAAACAAGGAAAGATCCTGAGAGGGAGCAGAGTGACTCCTCCCACCTTGTACATGCAGACTAGAACTCGGCTCCTCAACTGGGCAGCTAGGTCTCTCCAGGGTTGCAGCCCATCCAGGGATGTACAAAGCCATGGAATGACCATGGGGCATCATTCCACGATGTCAGAGTGAGGGAGAATTGATTAAATGGTGAGCCGTGTTAAAAGTGAGCTCTATGCCAACTCGAATGTATGCATTGTCATGGAGTACAATGCAATATATTTTCAAACTAAATTTTTTATTTTATTTTGTCGTATCCCATGCCATATTCATACATAGCATGTGTACATATAACCACTGGTGGTTTTGTAATATTTGTTTTGTTTTGAAGACAAGGTCTCACTATATTTTAGGCTCACCTTGAACTCATCACGTAGCCCAGGGTTGATCTCTTGATCATCTTTCGGCAATCCTCCTGTCTCAGCCTTCCAAGTGCTGGGATTACAGATGTGTACCACCATGCCCGAAAGTATTCTTGTTTGTGCTTTTTTTTTTTTTCCCCCTCCTCAAAGCTGGCAACTGAATGCAGGGCCTCACGCAGACTAGGCAAGAGCTCTACTGCTGAGCTACACCCCTGGCACTGTCCGGTATCTTTTTAAGTTAGAAAATGAAATGAGGTTATTCTTCGGGTTAATATGGATTGTGTCCCCAGGCTTCCTGGGGGCTCAAGGTCACGCTCCTCCACCTCTGGGGAGATTCAGCGGGAAATTTAGAAACCTCAGAAGGTGCAGTGGGCCATGTGATTTTCTACCAGTTTGACCTGAGTATGCCTGGGTTGGAGGAACTTCTCTCGCTAAGACATTGGGGTCACGTTCAAGGGCACCGCCGGTCTGCCCGGGACAGAGCCAGGGCATGGGACAGATACCGACTCCCCTGAGGCGTGGTGGTAGTGGAGGAAGGCAGCTGAGAGACAGAGGCCAAGACCTGAGCCAGACGCTGAATGACACCAAGACCCAGAGCAGCGTTCCCCAGGCTCAGGGACAGAAACAGCGGTACCTTTGCTTTGCGGGTCCATCCATCCCTTCTTACAGCCCCGGTCGGAGGAGCAGAGCGTCCTGGGTGTGGGGTACTGTGGAGAAGCACAGGCAGCGGGAGTCATCAAGAGCGTCTCGGAGGCCTGGAGACGCCGAAGTCCACGTCCACACAGTGAGAGCTGTATACCAACTACTCACGGTGTCGTGACTCAAGGCCGCCAAAAAGTGGATGTGGGCCAAATGGCCACTGATGACAAGTACAGCATGGCTGAGTCTTAAAGACCACACTGGGTGAAAGAATCCAGTCACAAAACCCACTTTCTGTGTGATTCTGTTCCTAGGAAATGTCCCCCAAAGGCACAGCAGCGGGACAGAAAGCGGCTGGTGGTTGATAGGGGCTGGGGAGGAGGCAGAGGTGATTCTTTCAGTGACCACGGAAATGTTCTGGAGTTCCACAGAGGCAACAGTGGCACTGTACAGAGACTAGACACCTGTGCACTGTACACTTCAAAGCGAGGGCTTTATGGCCTGTGAATTATATCTCGGTAAGAAATAAAAATGTAGGGCCGGGGATTTAGCTCAGCGGTTCGGTGGCCTGCCTTGCGAGCACAAGGACCCGAGTTCACAGTGACCACGGAAATGTTCTGGAGTTCCACAGAGGCAACAGTGGCACTGTACAGAGACTAGACACCTGTGCACTGTACACTTCAAAGCGAGGGCTTTATGGCCTGTGAATTATATCTCGGTAAGAAATAAAAATGTAGGGCCGGGGATTTAGCTCAGCGGTTCGGTGGCCTGCCTTGCGAGCACAAGGACCCGAGTTCAATCCCCCGCGTAAGGAGCCGCCCTCAGGGCCCTGTGGCCGCAGTACAGGGTGGACAGAAGGCGCCAGGGACAAAAGCTGAGCTAGCATTTTTCTCCCAGCCTGAGAGGATGAGGCCAGTGTCACTTAGCCTCGCTGATAGAGAAAATGGGGCTGGGGATGCTGCTATGGGCCTGAAGTTGTTGTGCGTTGCCAGCAAGCTTGAAACTAGTTATGCATGGCCCCGGGCTGCCCAGGGAGCCGGCCAGGGGAAGGCAGGTCCCCTGGGGAAGGCAGGTCTCCAGGCTGAAGCACACAGAGAGCCATCCTCCTGCCCAGCCGAACCCACAAAAAAGCAGCCATGTCCCGCTTTCCTTCGCCTCTGACCTGGACCTCTCCGGGAAGCCTCCGCCCTGGCAGTCACCTCCTTACCTGGGGGCACAGCCCCTGCTCTTGGCCTTCGGTCCGGAGATAGTTTGTCATCACGAAGAAGGAGTTTCCCTGCAGAGAGAAAGGAGAGAAGGAACTCGGAGGCCCTGGAGAACAGGGCTGCTTAGTCATAAAGACGCAGCTTGCTAAGTGCCCGGGGGCGAACCTCCGCTCTTTCAAGCGTCTAGAAATCCGGTCTGTGGGCAACACACAATCACACAATCCACTGAGGGCTTTATGATCAAAGCTGCGTGCGCGTCCCGCTGGGCCGAGGCGAGCAAAGAAACATTCGCAGGGACTGTGTATTCCTTTTCCAACCCAGCCCCAAAAGCAGCCGTTTCATTTTTCCAACACAGTAAAATTGTATTCAGTTGAAACTCGGGAGACCTGGGGAGCCGCAGGCTGGGCGTGGGCTGCGTCCTGGGGCGCTGTCCAGATTCCTCGGGACTTCATGAAAGGGTGCCGGGGCCTCCTGCCACCTGGCAGCGGCGGGCTTTAATACCCGCTGTTCGAAATGAGCAGGTAGCAGCTTGGGCCGGATGGGCTTGCGCAAGCTCCCTGCCTCCCCTGGCTGCAGACCCCTTTGTCCCTCCCACCCCCACCTGCTCCTTCGCCTTCTCAACTCTTAATTTCTCCTTTTTGGTGACTGCTTTCATTTTATCTGCTTGTGAGCTGAGCAGCCGCGCCGTTCTCGGAGAACACATCTTCTCTGTCACCTACATCCTTTTTTCCCCGGACAAGTGTACCAGGAAGAGTGTCCTGAGGACCTGGGTTGACCACAGATAATGCACGAGGCCTGGCACTGTCTGAGTGGTGAATCTGTCGCCCTCTTGAACCCAGGCCGACCTCCCTGGCGCGGTGGCCCTGCTTCTAACAGGCTGTGTACACAGCGAGTGTGAGCGAGCCGAATGGTGTTGGAACGCGCACCAGGCTGCACCGCTATTTTGGGAAGCCCTGTAGGACTTCAGCAAAGGGGCCTCTTCTTTGAACTGCCGGGTCTGGCCCACTTTTGCAGTCTTTTTAGGTTTTCTCAGTTGGGATTTTCACAGAGCTTTTTAAAAAGGTGAAAGATTTATTCGATCTGAAGAGAAACCAGAGTGTCACAGAGCTTTTTAAACAGGGCCATTGTTTTTCTGAGTGAGCCTCTGAGCCGCAGGGGAAGAAGGCAGAGCCCTGGTGACAGTGACCAGGGCCCAGGCCTGGGGGGACGCTGGGCACTCACCTGCAAAGGTAAGGTGTAATCTGCGGTGTCAAAGACCCTCTGCACGGGTTTCTTCATGCCGTCCACCACCTCCTCTCTCACCTCCGCTACCCCCTTCACCTTGGTGTGCACGGAGCTGATGACGGGCTCCTTCCGTTGGTACATCTTGTCACTCACCAGTGCAAAGCTAAGTGGCAGACACAGAAAAACACACACGGTTTTCTCAATGGAGGCCCAGCGCCTCCTTCCAGATCCTAGCTGTGCTTCTCTGTGACTCACTTTCCTTCACCAAACAAGAACGGTAGCTGTGCCTGCCTCCGGGGATTTTGAGGATTCAATGAGGTATGTATGCAAATTCCTTAGCATAACATCTGCTGTGTGATGAGCACTTGGTACAGGACAGCTGTTGCCTCTTGTCCTGCCTTTAGTCACCTAATGTACACACTGATTTTATTTTTTTATTTTTTTGAGACAGGGTCTTTGTAGAGACACAGCGATGCTCAACAACTAGGCCACACACCGCCACACACCAAGAGGTCTGACAGGAGATTTTATTCAGGAAGGCAGTTTAGGGAGAGAGGAGAGAGAGAGAGAGAGAGAGGAAGGAGAGAAGTACAAAGAAAGGAAGGTCCTTGTATTGTTTGGGGGCTGGGCTATCGCTTATTTGTGAGGAGTGGGCTACTTTTAACCTATCACCGGCCAGGTTGTCTTTTATGGGTTCAGTTCTGCAGAAACAGGTTTAACTTCTCTGGACCGCTGTGGCCTTGCGGGGAAGGAAACTAAAGATAAGAGCATGAGGTCATTTTAGGAGCCAAGAAGAACCAGGAAAATGCAGCCTGTGATGGCGGGCATCAGGTCCCTAACAGTCTTGCTATGTAGGCCAGGCTGGACTCCCTATATGCCCTAAACTGGGCTTAAGTTTGAGGTGATCCTCCTGGCTCAGCCTCCCAAGTACTGGGATTATAGGTGTGCACGACAGTACCCTGCAACATCCCAATTTAGAACAGCTCCTCTAATAATAAAGCCCCATTCCGAGCCGGCCTGCCAGCTTCATCCGGGGGCTCAGGAACACACGGGCACCTTCCTGCCTGCCTGTATCTGGTGGGTCAGCCACCTGCTCGTCAGAAGTCCTCGCCTGCTTTATAAATGCCGACGCCCAGCGGCTCCTCTTCACTGAGTACCCATTGCATGCCCGGTGCTCTCTAGGCGGCCTCTCATCACTCTGCACGGCCACAGTGAGACCGTCACGGGCACAGTCTCCCCTGTGGACGAGCGAATGGCTGAGAGGGAAGGGAACGGGCCCAGGCTCACACAGACAGACGGTGGCAGTCCAGCTTTCGCCCTCTTGACCCTGCTCGTGCCTGACACAACTCGGCCCCCGGGCTCCTGCCCTCCGGTCGGTCCACTCACTGCTCTTCATGCTTCTGCGAGACTACGCCTAAAAATTATTATGGGGGTGGAAGAAAATGGAATGAATAGTTAAAGATGATAGGTTCTGTCCCAGTTTTTCCAGTCTTCCCTATCTGTGTTAGTTACTTTTCCTTCGTTGCTGAGACCAAATACCTGCCTCCCAAAGTTAGAGGAGAAGGGCTCATTTGGCTCACGGTTCAGAGAGATTTCAGTCCCTCGTCTGCTGGCTCCAAGGCAGGGATGACAAACGGGACATCGCAGAGGAGAAACAACGTGGCGCACACAAGGCAGCAAAGGCAGCAAGCGGTTTGACAGCATCTTTCTGCCCCTTTTATCTCATTCAGACAATGGGATTGGGGCAATGCCAAACTGATCGCTTAGTAATTTAGTAACTACTAAGTTTAGTAATCACACGCCCTTAACCCCAGCATCACACCCTCCAGATTCAGCCACCCCTGAAATAGGAAGTCGCACCTCATCCGCATGAGGCTCTGGGGGGACAGCTGTACACAAGCCGTGGCTGTTCTTAGCGCCCCGAATAACGAAGAGTGTGTTCCAAAGGCTCGGTTTGTGCATTCGGCGACTGTTTATTTAGCATCTGCTCTGCTCACCCCGAACAGTATTCTCAGGACCTAAGAAATCCAGGCCTAGGGCCACCTTTGATGAGTCCAGCTCAGGAAGCCAAGCAGCCAAGCTGTGGTCCCAGCTGTCCTCAACCTTGGCAGAGAGGAAAACCCCCAGGGAGCTCTTGGAATTGCAGCTCTCACTGGATGTTCCAACCCAGGACAGTTTGAATACATAATGAGATCTTATCTCAAGAAATAACAAACAAAAAAGGATTGCAGCAGGGCGTGGTGGTGCATGCCTATAATCCCAGCACTCGGGAGGCTGAGGCAGGAGGATTGCTGTGAGTTCAAAACCAGCCTGGGCTACATAGTGAGTTCCAGGTCAGTCTCAACTACATAGTGAGACCGTGTCTCAAAAATAAATAAATAAATATTTAATGTTATATGAATTTCACCTCCACAAAGGTAAAAATATATATTTACAGACATAGACATATATCTGTAAGAATATCAAATCTAGCGAACAACAAACATCAAATTTAGGATGATGATGTTTATAAAGGGGGAAGGAAGGATGGAAGGAAGGATGGGTTTACAGGGAACAAAACTGGATTAGTGATGTTTATTATTTCTTCTCCTCATCCTTGTCTTTGTCATCATCCTTTCTCTTCCTCCTCTTCCACCTCCTCCTGTCGATAGTGCTAGGGATTGAACTCAGTGCTTTTGCAGTGAGCTACATCCTGAGCCTTATTTGTTTATTTTGTACTTGGGATTGAACTCAGGACCTTGTGCTTTCGAGGCAGCCATGGAGTCACTGAGCTATACCCCTGGCCCCTTTTTATTATTTTTATTCTAAGACAGGGTCTTTTTAAGTCACTAAGTTGCCTAGGCAGGGCTCAAACTTGTAGCCTTCCTGCCTCTGCCTCCCAGAGTGTTGGGATTACATGTGTGTACCGCTCTGCCCGGCAGTAACGTTATAGTTCTTGAGTTGCATGCTGGTACATGAGTGTTACATTATTCACAATACATTTTAATATTTCTGCAATGCATTCAAAAATGTCAGGCCCATTAACTGGAGACTGGCTAAAGAAGATGTATGGTGTCTGCGTGTGTGTGTGTGTGTGTGTGTGTGTGTGTGTGTTCTAAATAAAATGGAGTACTACTCAGCCATAAAGAATGAGAAACTAGAGACATTTATAGCTAAGTGGATGCACACTGAGGACATACTCAAGTGAAATTAATAGGATAAACGTGTAAATACCTAATAAGGGTCAAAATGTATAACTGATATTTTGTAATAGGAAGAAAAGGTCTAAAGGTATTGGGCAAATGGGAGGGGTAGAGGAAAGGTAAAAAGGGAGGAAAACAATAAGAGAAAAGGAAAAAATGGAAACAAAGTCTTTGTAAATAGAGAAGGGTGAAGCGGGGAAGGGAGGCCAGGGAAATGGGGAAAAGATGAGAACCAAGATCTGTCATGTAAAGGTACAAGAACTCAATGATGAATGCAACTGTATTGTAAAACTAAAATGTACCAATAGAAAATATTTTTTTAAAAGGGTTGTTAAAAGATGTCGGGATGAGAGATCCAGATTAGGGACCCAATCAACACGTGTGGTGCAGGGCTGGTAAGTGGGGTTCTGTATACTTCTGCGGTAATACTTGTTCGGTAAGGTCTCACCACAGCTTCATAACATCTCCGTGAAACATGCGATACTCTGTGAGTCGCTATTGCTACGTCCTCCCGGAACAGCCCTGAGTCCGTTTGATCCACTTGGGAAGCTCCGTGCTGGGCTCTCCTGTTCCCTTCCACAATGTGCTGCACGTTAGCGATCAGCTGTAGCTGGGCCCAGTAGGATGGGTGAGTTCTAGGTGACGGGAGAGGAAAGCCCTCTGAGGAGGAGGGCTGGGAGTGCGCAGGGCCTGGAGCCGGTGGAGAGGGAGGCTGGGCTGTGCGCCCTCCGGCTGGCTCGACTCGCGGATGCGGATGCGGATGCGGATGCAGGGGGCCGCCAGAAAGACGAACCTCAGAGACACACAGCATGAGCCCTGACTACGAAGGATCCTTGCGGTTGTGTACATGCATAGCTGGGCCTGCATGGTGAGCTGGGCTCGCAGCTCGTGCTCTGCCATCTGCCTGTGCCTTATAGCACCTGGGCCCCTTGAGCGAAGGTCGCTCTAGAGCAGAAGGTAGCCCCTGAGCCCCAGCTGCCGTGCTGTTTAACCACACCTGGCCCTGACTCACCACGGTGCCCACCGTCTGCCCACCCGGGCCTCGCATTGCCCAGAACGCTCACAGGAGCACCTCCGTTAACACCTGAGGATGAGCAGCAGGCCAAAGAGCGTGCACATTTCATGTCTACATCATTTTGTCATTCGTTTTGTCAAACCACAAAAAGATGAACCATTTCATGCTTCCAAAAGTAAAGCAAGAGCTCCCACAGAGCCTTTTTATTCTTTTTGGGTTACGAGGGATTGAACCAAAGGCCTTCACATTAAGCTACTTCAATCATTGTTAAATTTTTATTTTGAGACAGAGTCTTTCTAAGTCACTAAACTTCCCTGGGCTGGGTTTGAACTCGTAACCCTCCTGCCTCAGCCTTCCAGAGTGCTAGACAGGTGTGGACCTTGAAGAGGATCTCGATAAACAAGAGGGTGTCTGGGAGGGTGTGGCTGACACCAGGGGGATTGGAGATACTGGTGTGGAGAAGTGAGACTCTTCAGCCCTGCAGAGCGATCTGAAGTAGAGGAGGGAACACAGGGCAGAAGTGTGACCAAAGGCGAGGGGAAACAGAGGCTCGATTCTGGCTGGGTGTGAGAAAGAGAGGTCTGCAGCTGAGAGCCATCCCGGAACGGAACAGCCTTTACTGTGGCGCTGTGAAGATGCTGAGGACAATGATGATGACAGTTTCCATTTATCCCTTCAACTCCCCCCTCTCCTCTCTCTTCAAGCCTCCCCCAAACCCACACTCTTCTGCCACACGCTCTCCTTGTCTGAGAGAGGAGTCACCGCGTCGGTTTCCGGCTCCATTCACTCTCCGCCCATGCCGGTCTGGCTTCCAATCCCGCCGCTTCCCCAGGGCCTCCCTTGCCAAGGCAGCGCTGCTAAACCAACAGACCCGATCCTCCCGGAACGGAACGCAGCGGCACCAACAGCCTCGACCACGTGGCACTGCCCTCAGCTTCGAGGAATCCACATCCTTCTGGTTCCCAG